GAGCCGTGAATACTTTTCTTAAGAAAGTGGTTAGATTCACCTCTGTAGGGCTAACTTCATAAGGTGCAGCATGTGCAGTAGCACAGAACCCAGTGGTCTGCTGTCACCACCTTGAAATGTTTAAATTATTTTTTAGTAACCTAAAAATGTATGTAGCTGAGCTGGGCATGGTGGTTCACACCTGTAATCCTAGCACTCCGGTAGGCAGAGGTGAGTGGATAACCTGAGCTCAGGAGTTTAAGATCAGCCTGTACTAAAAAAGAGAGAAAACTAGCCAGGTGTTATCACTGGCACCTGAAGTCTCAACTATTTGGAAGGCTGGGGTAACAGGATCACTTGAGCCCAAGAGTTTGAGGTTGCTATGAGTTGTGATGCCAGGGTGCTCTGCCCAGGACAACAGAGTGAGACTGTCTCTAAAAAAAAAAAACTATGTGGTAGATCCTTTCTCTATGCAGTAATCTAGGATGGAAGTCAAGAGAGGTTGGATAGCCACCTAAACATCTGGCATTCACTTTATTCCCACATGAAATGAGAATTTGCTAGTCTCTTTCAAACTCTCTAATTCTGTGTTTCTGTATAAATTGCTATAATCAAATTTTGTGGATGGTAATATCAGTACTTTAAGTGCATGACATCAGAAGGAATGTTGATAATTTTCCATTGAGAGTTATGTAAATCAAAAGTTTTAAAAATTATAGTAACACTTTCTGTTTTTGGATTTTTCCACATGGCATCAGGTTTGCTTATCACAAACCACTGTATAAAGAGTAAGGTTGTGGAATGGATGCCTAGAAAAAAGGTACGTTTGTTTAAGAATTTATCTTTCAGTGATATAGAAAGATGGGCCAGATCTCAGGATATCTCTTTTTAAGAGGTTTCCTCTGTGAGAATGGGAGTATAGATTCTTTACGTGGTAGTAACTTGGTAGTATGTGTTTCTTATCTTTGCTGTCTCAGCTCCTTCCTGTTACATAAGGTGCCTCTCTTCTTCCTCATTCATAAATTTTTAAGATTGGACTTAACTTTATTGCTAGAATGTAGTCTTTATTAAACCAGGGACCTTATCTGCCCTTATTCACTGCTGTGTTCTCAGTGTTTGTAACAGTGCCTGGAACATAGATCAGAGAAGGTGCCAATCAAACAGAATAAGTGAAAGACAGTCTATTAGAGTATTCTTGTTAGTATGGCTTGTTTGGAGGCTCTTGCCCATCACTGAAGCCAGTTCTGACAGTGGTTTCTTTGATCTTGGCTGGAGCCAGCATCTACTAGGAATGGTAGAAGGTGAAAGGTGAAACTTGGAGATGGCAGTTGTGAGAAGTGTCAGTGCGACCATTCTACACATACATTTACTTAAATATTTGTTAACTATGTACTAAGTGCCTTGCACTGTGCTGGGGATGGAGGTACAATGGGAAACAAAAGCTATTTTGCCTGCTGTTGAGGAGTTTATAATACAGTAGAAGAAATAGACATGGGTGGTTTTAAAACAAAAGCATACTGTTCAATGAAACTTTGTCTAAGTAACCTGATCTAGGGTAGGAAATGGATAAAGGGTGATTGATGTCAAAGTTAAGCAGGTATTAACTTGGCCAGGAAGGAAAGGAAGATGCTCCACCCAGAGGAAACATTATTTGCAAAGGAGCAGTGTTGGAGGAGGAATGAGTGTACTCCAGGAACTGAAAAGAAAGACGGTGTAGCTAGAACACAGTTAGCAAGGAGAATCGTGTGCCGTGAGGCCAGCACAGTTAGGTAGAGGCCAAAGGCATTTAGGGTTTTGTAGGTTATATTAAAGATTTGGAACTCTATATACAAAGAGGGGTGGAAAATCATTTTAAGGGTTTTAAGCAGGGATCGGATAACCTAGTCAAGTTTGTGCAGTAAAAAGATCACTCTGATCTTTGTTGGTACAGTTATGAGTTAAGAAAAAAAAATCACTTTGGTGTCCTATAAATCTTAATTTCCAAAGGACCAGAGTGGAAAGATGAGTAAAAGAATTGCTGAGCCAGCACCCTAGACCAAACACGTTATATACCTTATTTTCTTATGGAATCGGTCTGCAGAGCCTTGAGACTGTCCTCAGTCTGGCAGCACTTGGCAGGCTGAGTGGAGGAGTCAAGGAAGTAGATAACGAGGCTGATCTGGGGTTGGGGAAAAGCAAACCCTAAGTGACAAGGAAATGAAGAAATTGAGGATGCTAGGAAGAATATAATTGAAATGATTGATCCTGGACTTCAGAAATGTTAGAGAAGTAAAACCAGTGTAAGAATTCTTACATGTTTTTCCTAGTTTTCTAAATTATGAGTCTATGAAATACTAGACTGATAATTTCTGACTGAAACTTTTATAAGGGCTCCAAAGGTAAAGAAACTATGTTTGAGTTGAATTATTTATTTATCTTTATTAGGAGTCTGTGCCAGGATCTATACATGGCACTCGGGATAGAGAGATAAGTGAACCATAGCTTTGCCTTCGAGGAACTGACAGCCTGCTTGTACAGATAACAATTGCAGTGAAGATTTTAAGTATGTTCATTTGTTTTGAATCAAGACTATTACCTCCTGCCTGCCTCAGCTAAAAACTGACATTTAAGTTTTTGTAGGCATCCTTTATTATTAAAACCTTTTCAACTATAGAGCTATTTTTAGTTTGTGCTTCTACTGCTAGACTTTATTTTTTCAAAAGTCTTATTTTTGAAATTCAAAGTTTATAGAGTTGAAAACTGAAGGGGGCTCTCATGATCTCTTGATTCACTTTCCCAGAGTGTATGTGTCTGTCACTAGTTGTAAACAGGATAAATTTAAAAACACAATCAAGCATTTTTAATAGTTGTATGTTTATTTAGTGTATGTTAGAAAAAAATACAGTTAGCATAGCATACTCATGATGCATGGACCTTATCATGAGATTAAAGTCAATCTGTAGATTTTTAAAAGTGAGTCAATTTAAAGAGAAATAGTAACAGCACAGGTAGTATATTGCTGAGGTTTAGGAAATACTAATTTAAACCAACATCTGTATGTTGTATAGATGAGAAAACAAAGATCTCCCATGTACAACAGTGACCTTTTAGGTCACTATTAGGAATAGTGGGGAATTTAGGTCACTATATTAGGAATATGACTAATTTCTAGGAATAGAACTCAAATTTGCTCGATACAATATTATGTCTATTCTGCCATATAAGGCTGCTTCTTGTTGAAAGTTGAAGAAGAAACCTCTTAGTATGGCATTGTACTTTAAATTTGCACTGTTCATTGTGGTGGCCATGTGTGGCGATTTATATTAAAATTCAAATTTGCGCTAGTCACATTTTTAATGCCCAGTAGCCAAATGGCAACAAGGATATAGAATATTTCTGTCATTGCAGAAAGTTCTTTTAGACAGTGCTGCTGTAAACTATTGCTCATGAACATGATTCATAATGCTTGAAGTTTTCCACCCTTCAAAGGGATGTTACTTATAAATTTGCTTTATAAATAACCACACTGAAGTTATTATAACTTTGAAGTTAAACTGAAGGTTCTAATAACTGACCATGGGAAATAAAGCCAGTATGGGATTCTCAGATTCCTACCAGCTCATTTTATTTGAGGAAATGCTTGCTCTTCTTTCTTCCTTTGTAACAATAAATGTTTTCTTGAATTCATAGCAGATGGAAATAAGAAATATAAATATATTGAAAAAGAGGGTTCTTGTACAGAGCATTTCCCAAATTTCTGAATAGTTTGTTCAACTTAAGAATTATATTTTGGGGCGGCTCCTGTGGCTCAAAGGAGTAAGGCGCTGGTCCCATATACCGGAGGTGGTGAGTTCAAACCTGACCCTAGCCAAAAACTGCCAAAAAAAACCCAAGAATTATATTTTGTTGACATTATAAAACCTTTTTTATTTTTTGCATTTCCAGTGAATGGACCTGACTGGACTCTGAGCACATCGATAAACATGAGTGGAACCAAACCTGATATTTTGTGGGCACCCCACCAGGTTGATAGATTTGTCGTATGTGACTCAGAACTAAGTCTTTATCATGTGGAATCTACTGTGAATTCAGAGCTCAAAGCTGGATCCTTACGTTTATCTGAAGACTCTGCAGCAACATTACTGTCAATAAATTCAGACACACCGTACATGAAATGTGTTGCCTGGTATCTCAATTATGATCCTGAATGTCTCCTAGCAGTTGGCCAAGCAAATGGTCGAGTTGTACTTACAAGTCTTGGTCAGGATCATAACTCAAAATTCAAAGATTTGATAGGAAAAGAATTCGTTCCAAAACATGCACGCCAATGCAATACCCTCGCATGGAATCCTCTGGATAGTAACTGGCTTGCTGCTGGTCTAGATAAACACAGAGCTGACTTTTCAGTGCTGATATGGGATATATGCAGCAAATATACTCCTGATATAGTTCCCATGGAAAAAGTAAGACTTTCAGCAGGTGAAACTGAAACAACATTGTTAGTAACAAAACCACTTTATGAATTAGGACAGAATGATGCTTGTCTCTCTCTCTGTTGGCTTCCACGAGACCAGAAGCTTCTCCTTGCTGGTATGCATCGTAACCTCGCCATATTTGATCTTCGGAACACAAGCCAAAAGATGTTTGTAAATACAAAAGCTGTTCAAGGGGTAACAGTAGACCCATACTTCCATGATCGTGTGGCTTCCTTCTATGAAGGTCAGGTTGCAATATGGGATCTTAGAAAATTTGAGAAGCCGGTTTTGACGTTGACTGAACAACCAAAGCCTTTAACAAAAGTAGCATGGTGTCCAACGCGGACTGGTCTCCTTGCCACTTTAACACGGGATAGTAATATTATTAGATTGTATGATATGCAGCATACACCCACTCCCATTGGAGATGAAACTGAACCCACGATAATTGAAAGAAGTGTGCAACCTTGTGACAATTTCATTGCTTCCTTTGCGTGGCATCCAACAAGTCAAAATCGAATGATAGTAGTAACTCCCAACCGAACAATGTCTGACTTCACTGTTTTTGAAAGAATATCTCTTGCCTGGAGCCCAATTACATCTTTAATGTGGGCTTGTGGTCGTCATTTGTATGAATGTGCAGAAGAAGAAAGTGATAATTCTTTAGAAAAAGATATAGCAACAAAGATGCGCCTTCGGGCTTTGTCAAGGTATGGACTTGATACAGAACAGGTGTGGAGAAACCACATTTTAGCTGGAAATGATGATCCACAGCTCAAGTCGCTCTGGTATACTCTGCACTATATCCTTTGCATTGTTAATTTTGTGAGATGAATCAAGTAGAAATATTCTTGAAGTTTACTGAAAGGTCAGTCTGTAAATAATGCTGAATGTCTTATATCCAAATACAAGTTCCATAATACTAAATTGTGAAGTAAAATTGTTTAAAACTCTTAAACTTGCGATACTGCTTCGTAGATTGTAGAAGAGGAAGAAAACTATGTCCCTAGAATAGAACCACCCTATTTGTACTAAGGCCTATGAATTGTCTCCGAATCAAATGTAGCATTTAAATATTTTATTATGCATCATCACTAGTATTTCCTATGCATTTAAATACTTATGAAGCAATATACAGAAGATATGGATCAGAAATCTCCAGGCAACAAAGGATCATTGGTTTATGCAGGAATTAAATCAATTGTAAAGTCATCTTTGGGTAAGAAAACTCCATTTTATTTTCTCTAATGTTTGTGACTTTTGTACTCTTATTTTTGTCCCCCATCGTTTGGTATGTCCAAAATCCTTTTTGCAGTGAGTCTTGGTTCTTTGAAGTTATGTTGACTTCCTTAAGTCTGTTCATTCATTTATTCAATATTATTTTTTTGGAAGATCCACTTTGAGAGGTTTTATACTAATATAAATTAGAACTAATATAAGCTATCCTATAGATAATTTATAGGGTGCCGATTATTATTTTGGATAATATAGCAGTTTGCTTTTTAAAAACGACATCAAAAGATCTCTAATTAAAAAGAGCCCTGGCTCGGTGCCTGTGGCTCAAGTGGCTAGGATGCCAGCCACGTACACCTAAAGGTGGCAGGTTCAAATCCAGCCCGGGCCCGCCAAACAGGAATGACGGCTACAACCAAATAAATAGCCAGGCGTTGTGGCAGGCACCTGTGGTCTCAGCTACTTGGGAGGCTGAGGCAGGAGACTCACTTGAGCCCAGGAGTTGGAGGTTGCTGTGAGCTGTGATGCCATGGCACTCTACCCAGGGGAACAGCTTGAGGCTCTGTCTCAAAAAAAAAAAAAAAAGAAGAGCCCTTTTTATTTTGCTGCTCCAGTACTTTCTTTGAGCCATCTGATGGCAGGACTATAACTATGACATGAAGTATGGCCTAACTCGAAGGAGCCATATCTGAAATAGTCCTTGATGAATTAGTGAATATATTAATGTATGAATTAATGTAAGATTGAAATTGATAAACTAAATCAAACTTATTTTTCACTCACTAGCTTAAACAGTTGTTCTTTTCTTTATTAGAATTGATTTAATAAGTTATAATTACAGGCTGAGTGTTCCTTATCCAGAATGGCTTGGTACACCAACTGTCAGATTTCATATTTTTTCAGATTTTGAAATATTTGCATTATATACTTGGAGAATGAGCATCTCTTTGAGTATCATGTTGGTGCTCAAAATGTTTCAAATTTTGAAGCATTTTAGATTCTGGATTTTCAGATTTGGGAATGTGCAACCTGTATGTCTGTGGCCTAGGATTTGTTCTCTTGCTTTTGATAGTCAAATTTGGGCCCAAATCGAGCTGCTAGAAAAGTAGTTCGCATTTTTTATAGGACTTGCATCACTACTTTACAAATAATATAAAATACAAAATAATATACTGTTTTTAGACTATGGTAAGTGTTTCAGTCATATTTATTATAGTGTGTTGTGTTTCCCTCCAAGGACTTTCAGATTACTTTGGTGCACATCACTGAAATCTGCAGTAGATGATTTACCTGATCTATTTCATTTTGGTGTTCTCTTATTAGCCCTCCACTGAAAAAAGTAACTTTTACTATAAGTGGTACAATGTATGAGTTCTGTTAGAAACTGTTGTTAAACACAGGTAAAAGGGGAGCCATATTGTATCACCCCCATGAATTAACCTGAATACCATACTTCATAATTTTAGAACTGCTGCAAAAAATTAAACACCAAGTTTATAGAATTTATAGTACTTTAACTAAAATAATAAGACTACCATTCAAAAGAGTTCCTCATTCTCTTATTGCTAAATTTTTACCTTTTTGTTTTGTCTTACAAACAAAAATCTAGGGCGGCGCCTGTGGTTCAGAGAGTAGGGCGCTGGCCCCAAATACTGAGGGTGGTGGATTCAAACCTGACCCCTGCCAAACTGCAACAAAAAGGTGGGCGTTGTGGTGGGCGCCTATACTCCCAGCTACTTCAGAGGCTGAGGCAAGAGAATCGCCTGAGCCCAAGAGCTGAAGGTTGCTGTGAGCTGTGACTCCATAGCACTCTACTGAGGGTGACAAAATGAGACTCTTGTCTCTAAAAACAAAAGAAAGAAAGAAAGATCTATATTTTTATTTCTACCACTCAAAGGTAAAAAGTAGAGAAATTACTATCAAAGATGGCAGTCCTAGGTTCTAGTCTTCTATTTATTTGGCAGGACCTCTTCTAATTAGATCTCTAACAATTCACCATAGTAAGTCAGTACAGTAAGCCACCTTGTCCACAGCAATCTAGTGCACAAGTTTAATAGAGTACATGGGAAACTTTAATTTTAGTGACAAATAATATATGATTACTTACTGTGAAGTAGTTGCCTTTCCATGTTACTATATTTAATTTTTACAATGAATGAATTAAGTTCATTCATTCAACAAATATTTATTACATAGTCACTAGGTGTCAGGAACTACTAAAACTATGGAGACATAATTATCAACAAGAGGGATAAATCTTTTCCTTCTTGAAGATTGAGCACGATGAGTATCATCCCTGCTCTTGGGGAGCTTACTTTCTAATTCAGAATAAAATAAACAGACAATTAGAACATGGAGAAGAACAGGCAATTTTATCTAGAAAAGATTCCATTTCTTAGAGGAAGTAAGTCTAGGACAGCGGTTCTCAACCTGTGGGTTGTGACCCCTTTAACAATGAAAATACATCCTGCATATCAGATATTTACATTGCCATTCATAACAGTAGCAAAATTACAGTTACGAAGTAGCAACGAAAATAATTTCATAGTTGGGGGTCACCACAACATGAGGAACTGTATTAAAGAGTCACAGTATTAGGAGGCATTAGGAAAGTTGAGAACCATTGGTCTAGGAAGAGGTCCAGACAGGGAGCAGCATATGCAGAGAGCCTAGACTAGAGGGAAGAGAGCATAGTACATTTAATACGGCTAGAACCAAGCATGAGAGAAGTGGGGAAAGATGAAGGCTAGAAAGGGAAGCAGTGGGCTAACTCAGGAAAGACTTAGAAACTATGTTAAGAATTTAGGGAGAGGCTCGGCGCCTGTGGCTCAAGCGGCTAAGGCGCCAGGCACATACACCTAAGTTGGCGGGTTCGAATCCAGCCCGGACTCGCCAAACAACAATAATGGCTGCACCCAAAAAATAGCCGGGCGTTGTGGCGGGCACCTTGGTCCCAGCTACTTGGGAGGCTGAGGCAGGAGACTCGCTTGAGCCCAGGAGTTGGAGGTTGCTGTGAGCAGTGAAGCCATGGCACTCTACCTAGGGTGACAGCTTGAGGCTCTGTCTCAAAAAAAAAAAAGAATTTAGGGAGATTTATCATCTTTTAAGAAGGAGAAACTAAGGGTGAATTTTAAAGGGGGTGAGGGGTGACAGATTTTACTGTGTATGGAATGAATTAGAAAGGGGATCAAGGAAGATAGCAGGAATATCAGGGAAAACCCTGCAGTACTCAGGCAAGAAGTGATGGATTCCTTACCACGGTTAGTGGTAGAAGGGCTAAAGAAATGTGGATAAATTAAAGAGTGAGACAAAATTTAATGCTTATAAAGGGGATGGAGAAGGCAGAAAAGTCACAGTTCCTTGTCAAATGGCCTTCTCACAAACCTGACAGTATGGCAACTTTTACTTCTTAAAGACCAACAAGAGATCTCTCTCCTACTGATTCTCTTTTAAAGGAAGCTCACCTGATTAGGTCAGACCCACACAGGATAATCTTACTTTGATTCACTTAAAGTGAAATGAGTAGAGTTTGGGTCCTAATTACATCTGCAAAATACTTAAACCTCTGCTATATTCTGTTGTTGAGAAGGAAGTCACAGATTCCACCTGTGATTGAAAGGAGGGGATTATATAAGAATATGGTAAACAGACAGGAATCCTGGAGCCCTTCTTAGAATTCTGTCTACAACCAGCAAGTTGAATTAAGAATTTTAAAAGCCTGTATATTTGCTTTTGATCTAGTTATTTACAAATGTATAATTGTGGTATTAATCATGTAATTATATAAATGCATATTTTCTGTAAATTACTATAAAAATAAAAAGTTGGTAACATTTGACATTCACATTGCCTAATACATACTTCAGTTTATTCTGAAAAATCCCTTTTGTTCAAATGACAGATAATTATACAATGGCAATTTTGATGGTAAAACTTCCTAGAACATTTAAGAATTGGGTTGTTATTAGTAGAGTTCTTAAGGTTCATCTTTGTTTTGCCTTTATTTGGCACCAGCTATTATCCTAAGTGAAATTACCTTCCCATTAGGATCAACTGCCTTGATTGCAATGTAAATGATGCTATAAGAATAGTAAGGCTTTATTGTAATAATTTTTAAAAAAGAATGAGAATAAAAATTTCCATGATTTAGTAAGGGGAAAGATCACCTTCAAATCATTCCTATTGTATTTTCATTTTAGTACTTACCTTAAACTTTCAGAGTATTTTGTAAGTCTGTGATTGCATTTTTTCATGTATTTGTGGAGAGAGGGGAGAGAGAGTGAGAACACTTCTACTGGTCTCAGGCAATAGAGACACCTTGTGAATAATACAGGCAAGATAACCTGCCTTGTTAGAGTTTCTGTCCCAGAGGGAAAAGAGATAAAACTGAAAAATAAATTAGGTTAAGTGCTAAATAGACGAAACATTGCGTGGTGAGTTAGCTAAGAACGGGTGTATCTATTTTAGATCAAGTGGTCAGGGAGGCTTCACAAAAGTACTCATTTTCTTCCCTCTGAGTACATGGACTCCTCCTGTTCCAGCAGCTCTTTGATAACTCAAGAAGCTATTGTACTTAGAAACATGTAAAATGTGTATTACTTGTGACATATTTCACATTTATGCTATAAAATTGTGGCTGAGAAATTGAATAGTCTAAATATGAAATATGTTGTTGAAATATTTCTCTGTAAAATTTACTTATCTTCCAAATATATTTTAAAATAACAATAAACAAAACAATATAAAAATGTTTTCTGTTTTTAGGAATGGTGGAAAGCAGCAGACATAATTGGAGTGGGTTGGATAAGCAAACTGATATTCAGAATTTAAATGAAGAGAGAATCTTAGCATTGCAGCTTTGTGGGTGGATAAAGAAAGGAACGGATGTAGATGTGGGGCCGTTTTTGAACTCCCTGGTACAAGAAGGGGAGTGGGAGAGAGCTGCTGCAGTGGCATTGTTCAACTTGGATATTCGACGAGCAATCCAAATCCTGAATGAAGGGGCATCTTCCGAAAAAGGTATTAGGCTGTATTCTAAGGTATTGGCACTTCATAGACTGCTTTAAAGAAAGGAAGCTGATAATTTTCAAATATCTAATCACTTAATATTTTTATGTAAATTTTTGTTGACATAGAAATTATAGCACAATGCTATAATAGTAAATATTAACTTTTCCTTTATGTCTTGGTTTAAGTATAAAAACAAAGACGTGTTAAATGTTAATATAAGGTGTTCTCAAATGTGTCTGATTTCAATATTTTTTAAAGATAGTTAGCATACATTTTAAAAAATATATTTCCTTAAAGAATAGGACTACTTTAGTTCGCAGGCATTTTTATGGCACACATTTGAGTGTATTTTAGTTTAAACTCTTTCAGATGTTTATTGGTTGACCTTTAGAAAACTCTGAATGGCACTTTTATTTAGATTAATATAAACTCTTATAAAAAGCTTACTTTGATCTTCAAAAATGCTTCTACTTGAGTCTGGTGATTAGTTTTCATTAAATATATATATATATATATTTTTTAATGTGGTCAGTTGTTAACTCTGGCATTTTGCTAGAGAATCCTTAGAGAAACAAATTTTAATCCAAAATTTCAGTTATTTTTCTTATCAGGAATATTTCACTTGAAAATAACCAAGATAGATATAACTTTGATTTTTAGTATACCTAACAGATCATTTCTGAATATTCAGAATGTTGAATTCTTACTTGCTGGTCCATTTTGAAACAGACATACAGTTCTGGTTGTACCATAGAGAAAAGCATGAAATTAGCTAATGTATGTACTTACAGTCTAAAAGTTGAAAAAGTTAATGTTTTGCTCAGGTTGACATCATTTCCTTTATCTTTTCTGTGACAGAAGTCTTCCCCATTTGATAGTACAATAGAAGATAAGTGGTGATGGAAAAAACTAATTGGTATTTCAAGCCATTTCTAATTATAATTTTGCTACAGACTAAAAGCGTGATACTTTCTCATCATCGTGTACCTGGAAAATTTGGTGTTGCATTTAAACATCTATACTAACAATAGGGAAAAAGTATCTTTCCAGTGATTTTAATAATTTGGTGAAGGACTGGAGAGAAGACTTCTGAGTTAAACATTCTTTTCCCTTTAGAAGTAAATTCTTCTGTACAGAATCCACGGACAATTCTTGGTTATTTTCATTTTAATTTTTTATTTTAAATGACTTTAAATCTAATTTAACATACTAGACAAAGGAAACAAGCACATAGTAACTTGGGAAAATGTTTATAGAAGAATAAGGCTGTTAAGAATAATAAAAGGAAAAGATGCTGTTTTATTTCAAGGAGAAAAAAATGAATAGGATCAAGAAACAGAATAAGAAAACTTCTGTAATATGTATATAAATGTTAAAATGCTTAAGAGTAAAAATTAAAGGCATAGTTTTCTTTTTTAAGGTTGAACTTACGTTAGAAAGTTAGGCAGCCCTGGAACCTAAGGCCAGGTTAGCAGCTTGCCAGCAGCCATAGAACTGCTAAGAACAAATATTTTTTAAAAAGACTTTTGGAAACAAATGCTTTATTGCAAATGTGTCTAAATGCAATTCTGTAGTAATTCTAGTAGTTCATTTTGTCCTAGAAAAACTATAATATATAGTTAAAATATCAAAATATGGCTTTCTACACTTTGCAGTTGACACGTGTGTGTGTGTGTGTGTGTGTGTGTGTATGTAAGTATTTGCATTATATATTTAAGAATAGGAAGACAAAATGATTGAAAATGCCTATCCCAAGATGGAATAGTATTATCAGGGATTTGAAATAGCTTTGCATAGGCTCGGTGCCTGTGGCTCAAGAGGCTAAGGCGCCAGCCACGTACACCCAAGGTAGCAGGTTTGAAACCAGCCCGGGCCCGCCAAACAACAATGACTGCTGCAACCAAAAAATAGCCAGGTGTTGTGGCAGGCGCCTGTGGTCCCAGCTACTTGGGAGGTTGAGGCAGGAGACTCACTTGTGCCCAGGAATTGGGAGGTTGCTGTGAGCTGTGATGCTATAGCACTCTACCAGGGGGACAGCCTGAGGCTCCTGTCTCAAAAAAAAAAAAAAAGAAAAAAGAGAAGAAAAAAAGAAATATCTTGGCATAAATGAACTCATTGGCATTGATTCTGACAGGATGGCTTCATTTTTCCTTATGTAATAAGTACTAACAATACCGTATAGGACCCTGCCTAAAATGAGAACTTGAAAATTAAAAGATGTTCTTTCCTACACAGTGTTTGCAAATAGGTAAAGTTTTATAAGAATGGAAACTTTGTTTGTGGTCCTTGCCAAATTTTCCAGTCTGAATCAAACCCTTATTCTAATGAGCTCATTTTTCTGTGGTTAAACGTTACCCTCTGGTCTCTGTTCATGGTTTAAGAAATGTAGAAGAAGGAGATATTAAGCTTTTGATTACTTTGATTAGCTGGCTGTTTTTAATATGTAGGAGATCTGAATCTCAATGTGGTAGCAATGGCTTTATCTGGTTATACGGATGAGAAGAACTCCCTTTGGAGAGAAATGTGCAGCACTCTACGATTACAACTAAACAACCCATATCTGTGTGTCATGTTTGCATTTCTGACAAGTGAAGCAGGATCTTATGATGGAGTTTTGGTAAGCTAATTTCTGTTTCATGAGATCCTCCTTTGAATTAGATAGGAGTTTTTAATCTTTCTTAAAATTTTTTTTTCTTCCTACAATTTTCAAATGTCTGTTGCATAAAGACATTTTTATTGTATTTTGATGCATATATTTTAAATAAAGTAAGATCTCTTAAACTGTTTTTGAGCAGCTCTTCTTGAGTGTGATTCCCAGTATAGTTAGTTAACTCATATCAAACTGAATTAGATTTTTATAGTTTTAACAATATAATTTTCAGATACTTTTATCCTTTATCTTAAGAACTTAGCTCTAAAAATTTAGAACTATTTAAACATAAAAATACATTAAATATGTTTGTGTGTGTTTAGTTAAGTAAACCAACTCATGATCACTCAGTCAGTTTTGGTCAGGGTAGTTAGATATCTTGCCTGAGTTAGCATCTGTCATTCGCAGATATATTCCCGTTTGGGGATAAACTATATGATAACTATATTTACACTGTACTATTTTATATTTTTTCTTTATTTTGTCTTTGTGTTGTTATTTTTTTCTTTCCTGCTTTAGCCACATATGACCGTAACACCAAATAGGTTTTTTTTGCAGTTTTTTGGCCAGAGCTGGGCTTGAACCCACCACCTCTGGCATATGGAGCCGGCACCCTGCGCTTGAGCCACAGGCACGACCCCAAATAGGCTCTTTATAACAAAATAGAGGAAGAAGAACGAAGTGAGACTTGCTTAGCAGTTTTAGTTGTTGGGTTTTAAGCTATACATTAGTACTACAACTTTGTGTTATTGGGCATCTTTCCAGAAATGAGATTTCTACACTGAAACTTATTTCTATGTTTGCTTTTGTGACATTTCCTGTAAAATATAGGAAATGCTTATACATTACTTGATTAGGTGATTTAAATATCACTTATCAGTTTGAATCAAACCCTTATTCTAATGAGCTCGTTTTTCTGGGGTTAAAAGTTACCCTCTGGTCTCTGTTTATGGTTTAAGAAATGTAGAAGAAGGAGATATTAAGCTTTTGATTACTTTGAATAGCAGAACTAATAACATGCATTTTATTAAGGTAATTTAATGAAATTTTTAATAAATGTTATTAGTTTCAATTCTGACAGTGTCCACAGTTTATGTATGTTGTCTGTTACTTTTAGTAAATTACTATTGAATTTTTCTAATCACCTCAAATTAATATCTAAATTTTTTAAATATTATTAAATCTTTTTTGTTAAACAAAAAAGACTTTAAATGTTGCATCGGCACTGAGGCGGAGGCGGGTGGATTGCCTGAGCTCACAGGTTCAAGACCAGCCTGAGCCAGAGCAAGACCCGGTCTCTAAAAATAGTTGGGCGTTGTGGTGAGTGCCTGTGGTCCCAGCTACTTCAGAGGCTGAGACAGGAGAATTGCTTGAGCCTAGGAGTTGGAGGTTGCTATGAGCTGTGACGCCATGGCACTCTACCAATGACAAAGTCAGATTCTGTCGAAGGAAGGAAGGAAGGAAGGGAGGGAGGGAGGGAGGGATTTCATAGAATGTTTTAAATGGAAATTGGGTCTTTTTTCCACCTTTAAATTATTTTTTACTAATCACAAAATTGTACCTTTCTACATTTACAAAAATATCTTTTAAATAGTGTTTTACAATACTAATAACAATACAGAAATTTTAGTTATAATGCCTCTGAAAATTTTACCACAAGCCATCTATATAACAATATTTTACTTTAGCCGTAAGAATGTATCTATTTCTAAGTTTTAAAACTTAGAAATGACAAACTTGTCACTTTGTGTTTAGAAACCTCTATTAGCATTTTTTCTAAATTTTGTACTAGTATATAGCCAATTCACACATTTCCTAGATTTATTGACTATATTAGTAGCCAAAGAAAAGATTTCCTTACTTTCCCCCAAATTAATATCTATAATGGAAAGATTCCATGGCATCTTAAACTTGATACACTATACATTACTACTTATATTTTACGTTGGACTGATGAAAACTGAACTGAATTTTTTTAAAAGCCGAATTGGTCATTGTTTTAAGAGGTAAATGTTTACTTTGCAAGGACAACCTTACGGTTTTCTGAGAGTTAAAGAAAAGCATCTCAGGCAATCATTGGCTTTGTCAAGATATACACGATAACTTAATACATTTGAAAATAAACTTATATACATCAGGTATATAAAATATTTAGTCTGTGCAAAAATTTAAAACTCAGACCATCTACAAGTAACTTCTTTCTTTTTTCTTTTCTTTCCAGTATGAAAACAAAGTTGCAGTACGTGACAGAGTGGCATTTGCTTGTAAATTCCTTAGTGATGCTCAGGTGAAAACTGATTTAATTCTGTATTTGAAGTAATTAATATTGATTGTCACAATTATTTTAAGAAACTAATCTTTATGTGTAATTATATATGTGTGAGATTGATAAATAAATTCTTCTAAAAAACATAGTAATCATTTGTGAAATCAAGATATTGTAAACATTCCTAACATAACTAAATTTGCTTGTTTAGAATACTGATTTAACATTTTAGTTTATTTCTGCTTTGACAAGTAAAATTAGTTAGTAGATAAAGATGTTAAATTCACCTCATAATGATGCTGTATTTCAGCAGTATTTCAACAGTTCCTGCATCCCTATGTTATGTTTACAGTGAGGGAGAAATGCACAGAAACAAGTAATACAATGTATTGAGTACTGAATAATGATAAAATGCTGGGGGGATTTAGAAGAATCTTGGCTACAGTTTGGGATTGGGATAATGTCAGGGAATGTCTAAATGAGATGGTTATTAAAGTTCCCTTCCAACTCAGATCCCATGATTGCATCACATACTGCTCTGAGAGCAAGAATTTTGCAGAATAATGAGGACATTTCTCTTTAAAATAGTAAGCCATCTGTAGTTCTTTTATGAAATAATTATCAAAACATAACAAATGCCTTTTTAAGATAATTTAAATGATCATGGATACTGCATTGAAATTTGTAACATGAGATAGATGCAGGCTTCTTAGTAGCTGTCTAGATTTTATTTTAGAATGTTTCCCATTAGAAATGAAATTGTTTAAATGTAGTAGTTTTGAAGTACAAAATACATAGTGAGGCAGACTGCTTTAGAAAAATCACTTTGAATTTTTCAGTTAAATAGATACATCGAAAAATTGACCAATGAAATGAAAGAAGCTGGAAATTTGGAAGGAATTTTGCTTACAGGCCTTACTAAAGACGGAGTGGACTTAATGGAGAGTTATGTTGATAGAACTGGAGATGTCCAAACAGCAAGTTACTGCATGTTACAGGTCAGTGCAGTTTAACAGCAGCTTAAAAAAATGAAAACACCTCCCTCATTCTGTATTATCTTTCCTCAACTGAAAGTAAGTATACACTTTTGCTTACTTAGGATCTTTAGAAAGCATTTAGCTTTAACCTCATCAATTGATATACTAAGGACTGTGATTTATCTTACTGTCCCTAAGTCTTTTCATTGGGTTATCCAGTTTTTCCTTTCACTCTGGTAAATACCAGTGTTGACACTGATTCTGAATTTATGTAAAGCTCACATGGAACAGAGAAACTTCTCTTCAGTTTCTCCAATTGTTGACAGAACTGCACCTTCTGCAAAAGAGATTCCCTTTCCCTGATCTGAACCACAGTCTTAGTTGAAGTGTTGAAGGCAAGTTATACCACAGTTCTCTGAAATCTCATTTTCCCTTTTAATTATCAATGGAAGTGATTTGGGGTAACCAAGTGATTAATATTTTTTCAGTTTTTACTGTTTAGTGGTTAAAAGGAGATCTCACATAGAGGTTACCTTCTACTTTTCTTTTGCTGGAAATACTGTAAAAATTGTAGAGGATCTTCCTGAGAGATTTCTTGTAGCCCTACAGATAATCACCTTACACGGTGTCATTACCTTCTCCTTTCCTTCCCTCATCCTTTTATGAAATACGATAGTGTGCTGTGTAAACATAGTAAAATACCCCCTCCCCAGTCTAATTGTGAATACACGTGGCTACTAGTCCACAAACTGCAAAACAAACTTAACTAAGATATCAAGCCGCTGCCCATGGAAGAAAAAATATCATTCTGTAACATTTTTTTCTTACTGAAATTTAAATAAAACTGTAGCTGTATGAATACAGAATGCAAATGAGTTAGCAACAACTTATCAAGATTTATAAAATGTATTTAAAATGCAGACAATATGTAATCAGATCTTCCTTTTTTGAATATTGAATATTTAAAGATTCTGGAAAGTGAGTTACTTTTAACTGACAAACAAGCTAATAGGAAGACACTTGCTAGACATGCAGACTAGTTAAAAGGAATGAACTTATTCTAGCATGCATGAGCTCCATGCATCTTGCTATACTGTTAGGTTTCCTCTCATATGTGAAAACTTTCTCTATCACCATCAATACTTTTATATTAAGTCCCTTTTCATACGTTATGGTACATACACAAAAAACACCTAATATACTGACAGATGCTTTCTTTTGCATCAAATGAGAGACTTCTGGGTAGAATGCAGTTAAATACTCTAAAGAGTTGTTTTTATTGTTTGTTTGGGTTTTGGGGGGTTTTTTTTTGAGACAGAAGAGCCTCCTGAGTTCAAGTAATCCTCCCATCTCGGCCCAGAGTGTTAGGGCTACAGATATGAGTCTCTGTACCTGGCCTGAGAGCTTATATTCTTAACAGCTCTATTGTGGTCCTTTCTTCCAACTAGCCCAATACACTATTATACCAACTCTCAAGAGAGAACTTTCCAAAAATCCTCTAGCCAAAAAGTTATACACATTAGGCTCCTTGTTCAGAGTTATTCCTGCATGATGGAACTAGGGTTACTACCTAACCCATTTCTTTATCTATAAAATTGGAGAATGGAATCTACCAAGCTTGTGAGAATTAAATGAAAAGATAAACATGAAGCATCTGTTACATTGCCTTGTCACCACCAGCATTGCTCAGTGCGAGGACACATAGTTGCTGCAAGTTAGTAAGAATACAGAGCATGCCAAAAAAGTGTACACATTTTAAGAAAAAAAATTATTAAAATTGTAATAGTCAATATATACTGATAGCAAAAGAAGAATACAAGTCACCTTTGACTTCTACAATTACAAGAGGTGCTCAAAGTAGTTACCATTGGTGTTCTGACACTTCTGATTACATTGAACCATTGGTTGAGCAACAATGACCAAAGTGTTCACTTGTGTCACTGTGGGTACCATTTCAACTTCTTCTTGAAGTTCCTCCAGTGTAGTCAGTTTTCTAGGGTACACCACATCCTATAAGGTCCCCCATAGGCAGAAGTCAAGGGGTGTTAAGTCAAGAGAATATGAGGGAAACTCAACTATACTATACTCTTTGTCAACATCTTATCCATTGTTCTGGCAAATTCTCATCAAGGTAAGCTCTCACCTCTTGGTATAAGTGCAGTGGGGCACCATCTTGTTGGAAGTAAAATTGATCATTCCCAGAAAGTATACAAATTGTAGCTAAAATGGATGTGCCTGACTTATCTAGGTACACTTGACCAGTAATGGTATCTTCAAAAAAGAATGGTCCAGTTAATCACCTTAAGACAGTTCACATCAGACATTGAGACCTGGTAAATTGACTTCTTTGCCCACATGAACATGTAGGTTTTCTGGAGCCCAGTATACACAATTATGCCCATTCACTGTGCTGTTTGGTTCAGATTGTGCTTCATCGATTTTCCCTACCTCCCCAACCTCCACAATGATGTAGTGTACCCTTTGAGCAGGGTCACCTTCATTCAGTGCACATAATAAATCTTGAGATGAAAATTTCCCATTTTGCTGTTTTAAAAATATGTTGTATGGCTATCCTACTGACTTGTCTCATATGCACATTGTTTGGTAGACTTCCGTGCCAAGTGTGTAAACTGTTTCAACACCATAGCAGGAGAAGCAGTATGTGTTGTTGTCAGGGCCTCCAGCTCTTCCCTTGAGCACATCACATACACAGTACCATCCATCTCAAACTTACCACGAATGTGTGCAGTTGTCAGGTGCATTAGAGGTTCTGTTGCACACCCACACCTTCATTGTTGTGTACTTCCGCAGTGTTCTCAGATTTCAAATACCACTTCAAATTGGTCTTGTGCTCCTCAAATGACAATCATGCTTCTGCCATTTTCTTTTGACTGTCCTGCCTGTCATGATCAACACCCATCTTTTGAGTAAACATTATACTGCAGATTGCTACCATAGTTCAATTCAAACTTCAAAAGTTAATACATAGATGACATCGCTTAAAATATGAATGCATTTTTTTTGGCACACCTGGTATTTGACCTAATGAGGCACTTTCCTGTTGTAGGTGTAGAATGGTAGTTGGTATAAGTCAGTTGGCTTAAACTAATGGCTTCTGCCTATTGTTTTCAACCTAAGCTTAGAACCAAAGCCCTTGCACCTCCACAGACCCTGGAGGCAAACACTCAACCCCAAGGACCACCCTGGTTGGGCTCTTGCCACTGCAGCAGATCAGTCCATTCTACTGTGTAGGACAAAAAGACCCTAGATCTTACATTTTTTAAATCCATTCTGATAATTCTGATAATTAGGATTTTTTTCATTTACATTTATATGGGCATGGTTAAGTCTGCCATCTTGCTATTTGTTTTCCAGTTTCTTTGCCTTTTTCCTTTTGTTCCTCTGTTGTTTACCTGCCTTATTTTAGGTTAATTGAATATTTCCATGTTTTATATTACTGCCTCTTGGTTTTTAAACTCTACCTCTTTTTTTTTTTTTAAGTGTTGCTCTAGGCCTTGACAATATGCATCTTTAACTCATGAAAGTCAATATTTTACCTTCTTATACTTCACATATCACACCTGACACATGCTTCCTGCTTCACCCCTTCCCTTTCTTACCTCACACCTGATGTTTTCTGAGTTTTGCTTCATACTTCATGCGTCACAAATGTTACAACAGTGTAATTTGATTTATATACCGACTCCTTTGTCCTGTTGTCAAATATTTTACTTCTATAGACATCATAAACTATAACTTAATTGTGTTATGATTTGTCTTTTGTCATTTGTCTTTATATAAATCATGAGAGGAATGAAAACTTGGGCTCTTGTATTTATTTCATGTTTACCATTCTTTTTTTTTTTTTTTTTTTTGAGACAGAGCCTCAAGCTGTCCCCCTGGGTAGAGTGCCGTGGCATTACAGCTCACAGCAACCTCCAACTCCTGGGCTCAAGTGAGTCTCCTGCCTCCGCCTCCCAAGTAGCTGGGACCACAGGCGCCCGCCACAACACCCGGCTATTTTTTGGTTGCCCGTCATTGTTGTTTTTGGCGGGTCAGGCTGGGGATTCGAACCCGCCACCTTAGGTGTACGTGGCTGGCGCCTTAGCCGGTTGAGCTATAGGCGCCGAGCCTATTCCTTTCAATAGTTGTGAGTTTCACTTAGTATTTCCTTTTGATTTTTTTCTTTTGCATTTCTTGTCATATAGGTGAAAGATTCCCTCAGCTTTATAATTTTAATTGAAAATGCTTACTTTACCCCTTTTCTCTCAGCATCTTAAAGATACAGTTTCATTGTTTTCTGGTCTCCATTGTTTCTGATGAGTAGTCAGCTATCTAATCCTTGTTTTCCTGTTTGTGATATTTCATTTTTCTTTGGGCTTCTTCCAAATTTTATTTTGATTTTTCAGCAGTATGCCCCTCATGTGCATAGTTATGGTTCTTTTTATTCTGCTTATGGTTCACTGAGCTTCTTGTAAGTCAGTGTTTTTCATCAGATTTGAGGGCATTATTTCTTTAATTTTTTTTTTTTGTTCCCCAATCTCATTCTCTTTTTTTCTTACACTCTTATCACATGTATATTAAACCACTTGATATTTTCTATAAGTGCTTGAGGCTCTGTTCATTTTCCTTTTACCTTTCTTTCTCTGTTCTTTAAATTGGACAATTTTTACTAATTTGTTTGTTGACTTTTCTGTTACCTTCAGTCTGTTAAAGTTTCCAGGGAACTCTTAATTTCAGTTCCTGTGTCTTTTTGTTGTAGTATCTTAATTTTGTTATAGTTTACGTTTCTCAGTTCAGATTTCTATCTGTTTACTAATTGAAACAGTATTTTCCTTTAATTCTTTGAATACATTTCATATAGCTATATTGAAATTTGTCTGCTGACTCTAACATCTGGGCTATTTTAGGTCAATTTCTATTGCCCCTTTTTTCCTTTACTTTCAACCACATTTACCTCTTGCCTTATATATCTAGTGATTCCTTTTTATTGACTGTTGGGCTTTTATTTTTTTATTTTTTTTTTTTTTTTGAGACAGAGCCTCAAGCTGTCCCCCTGGGTAGAGTGCTCTGGCATTACAGCTCACAGCAACCTCCAACTCCTGGGCTCAAGCGAGTCTTCTGCCTCGGCCTCCCAAGTAGCTGGGACCACAGGCGCCCGCCACAACGCCCGGCTATTTTTTGGTTGCAGCCGTCATTGTTGTTTGGCGGGCCCGGGCTGGGGATTCGAACCCGCCACCTTAGGTGTACGTGGCTGGCGCCTTAGCCGGTTGAGCTATAGGTGCCGAGCCGACTGTTGGGCTTTTATATACTACATTAAAGAGATTTATTTGTCTTCTTTTATCTCTTTCTAAAGAGTACTATTACTTGGGGAATTTCAGTTATTTGCTGATCACTTTTGTTACCATGCATCTGTAGAAAGCCCAAGCTGTTACCATACACTTGTAACTTGTTCAGACTCAATCTGAATTCTATTTGCTACAGATCATGCTGGTGCTCAGTTTTAGATTAGGACGGACATGGAGAAGACTTTTATCCTTCTTCTTTTTTTATTTTTTTAAGACAGAGTCTCACTGTGTTGCCCTAGATAGAGTGCCATGGGGTCATAGCTCACAGCAACCTCAAACTCTTAGGGTCAGGTTATCCTGTTACCTCAGACTCCCAAGTAGCTGAGACTACAGGTGCTAAACACAACACCCAGCTATTTTTTTCTGTTTTTTTTCTTTTAATTTATCATGTATTGTCATGGGTCACCCTATAACCTTTTTTGGTTTTATTTTTTAACTTAATTTTTATTAAATCATAACTGTATATGTTTCTTGGGTACAATGATTTGATATACAATGTGGAGACTAGGTCTCATTCTTGCTTAGGCTGGTCTCAAACTCCTGAGCTCAGGCAATCTACCCACACTGGTCTCCCACACTTCTAGGATTATAGGCAAATGGGTAATTGAAGTTAGCACCTAATTTAATAGACAAAAGATATGTTCCTTCCCTGTTTTTGATTGACTGTCTAAAGATAGTTTGTTACAAGTTTTTGTTCTTTTTCTGTAAGTAAAGTATTTGCTAAGTTCTCTCTAACATTTTGCTTTTCTGTCTGGCTTCAAGTGGGACTGAGATAACTGGGTTTCAAATTGATGCCCAAGGTATCATTGGAAATAGAGACTTTGTTTACTTTCTCCATCATGTAAAGTTAAGGAAGATATCTTGGCAGGACTAAAAGCCTTCTATGATAACCGAAGCATAGCCAGGCGTTATGGTGGGCACCTGTAGTCCCAACTACTCAGGAGGCTGAGGCAAGAGAATCACCTAAGCCCAAGAGCTGGAGGTTGCTGTGAGCTGTGATGCCACAGCACTCTACCAAGGGCGACAAAGTGAGACTGTCTCTAAAATAAAATAAAATCATTTAAAAAATTAAAAAAATAACCCAAAGCAAACATAGATAAAGTATGGAATGTATTTGGAATGTCACAGCTGCTAGGGAAAATACAGCTTTAGGAAAATTGCTTTTTTTTTTTTTTTTCTCAAGCAGAGCCTCAAGCTGTCCCCCTGGGTAGAGTGCCGTGGCATTACAGCTCACAGCAACCTCCAACTCCTGGGCTCAAGCAAGTCTCCTGCCTCCGCCTCCCAAGTAGCTGGGACCATAGGCGCCCGCCACAACGCCTGGCTATTTTTTGGTTGCAGCCGTCATTGTTGTTTTGGTGGGTCCGGGCTGGGGATTCGAACCTGCCACCTTAAGTGTACGTGGCTGGCGCCTTAGCTGGTTGAGCTATAGGCACCGAGCCGGAAAATTCTTACTGGCAAGAACTTGAGGTTCTTTGATGAGAACAAAGCTAAAGTAAACTTAGTAAAACAAATGGTTGTTTTTCTCTCTGGACTAGGGGCAAAAGAACTAAGAAAAGTTTGGTTTGGTTTTTCTTTTTTATTATTATTATAGTCAATGTATGTTTTAATTGAAATTGAGAGAATAGACAGGTTTAACTTAGATAAGTAGATATATAAAAGCAGAATTTCAGTTCACAGTGCGCTGCTAGATACGAAGGGCCAGACTAAGTAAGTGTTGTTTAAATGTGACTGAGCAGTTTTGGTTTAGTTTTGGATTAGGTAGTAAACAGAGTTTATGAACCCAGAGGTTTTAATTGCTGTGATGGAGTATTCATGTCGCTGTTTGCAGCATTCAATCATGAAGGTGAATTGTTCACTCCTGCTTCCTTAAACTTAATTAAAAGAACATAGCACTTACCTGGCCAGGTATGATATGTAAGGTACATATTTATGTCACTGGTGGAGGCCAGCTATGTTGTTTACTCTATAACAATGAGAGTTACTTAAGATAGATTAACAGGGCTTCCAACGTTTTTATTGTATCCTCATTATGAGCCAGCTTTTGGCAAGAAAGGGGCTGTTTTTTTCTGTCTGACTCTTGTTCACATTACTCAGAATCTTCTGTTTCAGCCAGAAAATTTTAAACAATTGAAATAATTCATGTTTTCTTTATAGGGTTCACCTTTAGATGTTCTTAAGGATGAAAGAGTTCAATATTGGATTGAGAACTATAGAACTTTATTAGATGCCTGGAGGTTTTGGCATAAACGAGCTGAATTTGATATTCACAGGAGTAAGTTGGATCCCAGTTCCAAGCCTTTAGCACAGGTAAGTGCATTGTTTTGTTTTGAAACATTTTAATGTTTCAAAAGAATACAGCTTATTTTTTTGCCTATATTGAATTCCCACTGATGTCTTTATCTATTCCAAACTGTATTTTGTCCTTGATCTTCAATCTAGTTTTGCTGCTTCCGAACAGTTATCCCAGCAGCTTGAGCTATAGTGTGAGGTAGTACAAACCACAAGCCCAGAGGATCTCAGGCAGCTCTAAACCAATCCTAGGACTGTCTGAAGTTTCTAGTATATTCCCAGCCCTTTCAGAATCTAAACTATTGCATGATCTTATAAATTCCATTTGTGTATTAAGTTTTTCAGCACTATTTACATGCAATAAAGCAGGGTTTGGGTTTTTTTTAATTTAACAGTATATATCATGTCGAATTACACATGGAAACTTTTAGCATTAGTTTAAAAACAGATCAGTTATCACATTAGGTGTATAACAAATGATTGTATCTTAGTTTAGGTATAAATAGTATGTTATCCTTAATATGAGCACTGGATGGTGCTATTTTCTTATTTTAGGAAATTGAAAAATTAGGGCTTGTATTAAAACCAGAATATCAGTAATATAGCATCATATGATTGTATACGTTACTAATCTGTATAATAATTAGTGATTAAGGGCCTAGGAGTTTACTGTAAAAGCAAAATGGACTGCTTCTATTGCTATTACTCTAAAATTTTGACTGTTTACCATTACAGGATCCTTAACTCCTTTTTATCTTAGTAATAGAGTGTTTTCTTTATAAGAAAATTTTTTTTCAGAAGATGATATCACTGAACTTGGTTTAGAAGTCATACTGGGATATTTTGTAATGGGCCAATGTGAATTCTAAAGTCCTGGTTATTTTTTAAAATGTTGGGGTATAGGCTCGGCGCCTATAGCTCAACCAGCTAAGGCGCC